TATCTTAGGGGGACATATTACCTTCTAGATACAGTGTATCTTTCTTCAACCAGTATGCAGTTACGACCTCCGATGTGGACACTGTCAATGTGAGAGTACGTCTTTCCCAAATTGCTACCACTAATGACAATGTCAGTCCCACCTTCAAATGAACCAGAAGACGGCCATATCTGAAAGAACAATATTAGAATGCACATTACAATTAGAATAAATGCTAAATTGAAATATCTGCATGAAAAATCAACCAATGTATCAAATATCATTGTGAAATTAAAAATATATTATATTACCTCATAGATAACAGGGTCACCACAGTTGTAAGTTGTATCTTGTGGCAACCAGTCATAATCACAATGTTGTTCAATCTGACAGGAATTATCACTAACACACCATCCACATTGTAGTTCTTCTCTACTTGTTACAGTAGATAAGCATTCACTGCAGTCAAGACGATCAACTCTACAATCATACAATGTTACTGTAAATAAAATATCAGATTTTAAATGTCAGAAAACTAAAAACCATAATAGTCATGTTATTGAGTTATGCACTAGATCGATGAATTGACCACAGTTCTGCTTTCCAAATTTACCAAAGCAGAATACATACATATTTCATCACAAACAATGGTGACAATCGGTAACCATAAATTAGTCTAAACGGGAACTGGAAGTTGTTGTGTGCTGTTTTGTTTTCAATTGATGCTTTTTAACAGACTCACCTGTGTATCTATATATATCATCAATGATATAATTATCATTCCATTGTACAATTAAACTCGCGTTCAACTCCTTGGTATCAGCATTATAGTGGTACTATGATAGAGACAGAAGTTAACACAATACTATTAAGCAGTGACTGCTAGGACATGATTATACTAGTATTACATGAACAAAAGTGAATTGTGTTTAATAACATACAAATATTCATACATCCTACATATGAGGTGATTTTTAAATTGGTAAATATGAATTACAACTTACTGTACTGTTTCTATATTACTTTTGATCATATGGCGATAAAGTCATTTTTACCACATTGATCATAAATAAATAACATGCATATAATATCAATATGGTCCGGGTATATCGTAACAGCCCCAAAGGCTAATTCACGTAAACATGTATTACATGTGTATCATCGTTGTACCATGCTTGACGGCGGGCAATGATTTTAATAGAATTACCACGGAAGCACGAACCTAAAAAGATTCATATCAAAACATTACTCAATGGTAAGTTACTATTCGTAGACTCACGTTTTTAGCATCACAAATCAATGTAGATTCATTATATCTAATAGCTGATGTAG